TCTGGCCATCTGTCATGGTGTCAGGATTTTAAGGGAAGACAAAAACAAGCTCACGGGGAAAAAAAAATCTGTTGAGGCACACACAGAAACAACATCTGGCTCAGAAAGTCCCTGAGCTGAAAACAATTGGATCCTGAGAGAGTACTGCAGGCAAGAATCACATACACCTGCCTTGGACTTTTTTTTCCTTATGTTTGTACTCACAGGCACCACTGGAGATACAGTATTAGGGTAGGTGGAGACTTGCTCTGACAACTGAAGAGAGACATTCTTTTGGTCTCTTGTACCACAAAGACAGGTCAGTTACCACAGACCCCTACTCTTGTCAAAGTGTCTGATTGCTTTCAAGTTTGATTTCTGTCAAGACCCAGTCACAGCTCCACTTAGTGAATGTGAATGTGCCTGCATATTCATATTATTAGGAAACACAAAACTCAGTGTTTTAAAAAAGCACTTCATACAGAGGTTTTCACATTGCTGTATTGAGCTGGAAATAGCTTTTTGTTTCTTAATAGTTTAAAAATTCTGTGAGGCACAGGTAATGACAGCAGCAGGCTTGAGAAAATGACAGTAATATTTCCAAAGGAATAAAGAGAGTCCATGGTCCAGAGGAAATGATACTGTGAAAGCAGTTATCTATTTGGTTATTAAACATTTTACAAGCCTTTACCTTAATTCTGCTTGAAACAATAATGATATGTAGATAATAAGCTCACAGTTCATTTTTTCTGGGTGAGTATTAAAAATTATATAGCTAGAATATGTGGAACACTAAGAACCTTAATAATACTAGCTAAATTATTATTAACAAGAGGAATAATGGCAACAACAGCAAAATCTCCAGAGTCTCCTAACTACTGTCATGGTATAGCTTTGCTGAGCAATATAGACCAGTTTTTAGGAGCTGCCACAGTGGGAGTCTGTGTGGAAGCACTGCCTTCCAGCAACTGATGTTAACTCATTAAGTTCCCCAACACTTGTTACAGTAAGAAAAGTGTCTGAACTCTGTGTTCTAAGAATTTGAAACACCACCCACTTACTGAAATCCAGCCCTTTCATTTCTTGCAGTCTTCCTTGGCTTCTTACAAAGGTGTCGATACCTAATGCAAAGGACAAACATTTTCAATTTTAGACTGTTAACATCTGTTTGGAGATGCTGCAGATTGATATAATTATCCTCAATAAAAATATTATCAATTTGTCAGCAGTATTGATGACTAAATGTCCCTCAAACACCTGGGTGAGTTTCTTATGAAATATCTATACAATGAGGTTAATTCTCAAAATATCTAAATCCCTACACCCTTATCAAAGGGGTGTCCTATGTCCATACATATATGGATAGAGCACAAAATTCAGGATGTGATAATGGGTCCTGATATTGCAAATGCTGAATATTTTTGTTCTCTTTATTATGTCCTTATTATAACCATTATTACTAGGTTATTCTAATTGGAGACAAAGTCCTAGCTTAAATTCTTCTTACCACAAGAAGACTATTGATTTATTGTTCCATGCTAATTATGTAACTTTATTGGTGACTTTTCTTGGAAGCCTTACACTTCCTTTTTTTCAAACTAACTTCACAAACTTCACACATATATTCAACTGAACAAGTGAAAAACATTAAAACAGAGCTTCTTCATGAACTTGTTTTTTCCTGTAGCTTTTTTCATCATCTCATGATCCATCTTGACCTTTAAAGTTTTTATGGGAGTAAGAGCAAAGACAATGACAAGCATCTAAAGAAACAAATGATCATAACAAATGATCACAAATGATCTTCCTTAGACAGAAACTAGTGTCAATGGGAGTGGGTAAAAGATGCAAAAAAAAAAAAAAAAGAAACCAAAAAACCCCAAATCCTTTGCTCTGCTTATTTTTTCAGAAGTATGATAAAACAGCAAAATTCTAAATAACTTGTTTTTTGTTCACGCCATACTCCAGCAAAATTTTTGCTGGGATCTGTGTTGAGTCCTTCCTGAGAGAAATTTTGTCCTTAAATGAGAATAACAAAAGAAAAATAATGAAGAAAAGAGTACAAGAACCGAAGATTATGCCAATATGCCAACTATACACTTAAGTTTACACTGCTTGTTCATCTAAGCACAAGATTATACAGAATAAGGTCAGGGGAAATCATCCCATATGCATCCCCAAAGATATCTGATATATCCAATGACAGCAGGGTCCTGTTTATTCAAAATACTTTTGGAACATCAAAACATTTGGATAAACAGGGCTTCAAATAATTGAGTGAGTTATTGTATAAGTAATTCACACCAGGGGGACATAACCTAGATTCAAAGGACTGAGTTTCAGATCAAAGGGGTACAGATAAATGGGATTTGGCTCCATATGAACAAATAAATAAAATTTTAAAAAACCAAACAAAAAAAAACCCACAAAAAACCCACAAAAAAACAACACACAAACAAACAAACAAAAAAACACAAAAAAACCCCCACCAAAACCCAAAATATTTGATTATTCAGTAACCAAGAAATGTCCAAGCATTTTTTTCAAAAAGAGTTTAGGACAAAAGGTTGAAATTGTTGCAATAGGCTATAGAGAAGAATATTCCAATGGAATCAAAATAACAGAACTAAACAAGACCTAAATGATATTGGAGTTGTTTGGGGTTTTTTTTGTTTTGTTTTTTTTTTTGGGGGGGGGGGGGGAGGAGGGAGAAGGTGGGGAGGGTTGTGCACAAGTGTTTGTTTGTGTTGTTTTATCTTCCAGTCAGGATCATATGAACTTCACTAAGTTTCTGACCTTTTTCCAGCCATGAAACTGACACATATTTTGTAGCAGAAGGTGGGTATTTGTAACATCCATGTCTCTTAACCCACTTTCCTCAATGCCCAATAGAAACAAATGTGAAATACACAAGTTTGGACTTGGATGGACAACATTGTCTATTTCTCATCTTTCTATTAAAACATGACCCACATATGGTTCATCTACATACAGATATCATCATCTTGTATTAAATACCTTTTACGATACAAATCTTGGAATTAAAAAAGATTTTGATCTATGCTGATACTCACTCCCTGCATTATTAATATGGTGGATACCTAATTTATATAAATAGACAATATTTTCCTTTTTCTGCAAGCTATGCACACATTGCCACAATTCAGCATTGTCCCTTACTGCCTGTTGAGACTTTTTTTAAAATTGTGGGAGGGCAGATATTTAGAGAGGAGTAAAACATCAGAAACCATGACAGATTTGGATTGCCCCCAGCATTTGATTTCTGTAGCCAAGAGCCCATCAGGGAGAGTGCTCCTCCCACCACGGTGCCTCACCTGGAATGGTCCCATCATGGCTCATAAGCCAGAGGGAAAGGAGATCTGAGGGATGGGGGAGAATCAGGAGAGGTGTGGGGAGCTGGTAGAAATGGCAATTTGGAGTTGAGTTGAGTAGTAAGGGCAAAGTAAACACCTGGAGGGTTGGAGGGGGCAGGGGTTGCCATTGGAAAGACACAGAAGCAGTGCTGGGCAGGGAAGGAGTCTCGCTGGGTGGTCTCACACGGTGCATGTGGAGGGGAAGGCTGAGGAATGGGGATGGTGTTTTGGAGTTTGCTTCCAGGTTGCTGCACTGACACAGTCTGGAAGTGAGTAAAGGTGAACGATACAGGACAGAGCAGGGTTCGTTGTTTTTTTTTTCTAAAGCAAGTGTTAGGGTTTTGTTTCTTGAAGAAATCTGGGAATTGTTTAAGCCCGATTTCCTCCCTCCTCCCATTTTACTAACTCCTCTGCAACCTGCTGGATAGTCATGTTGTCTGCGGTACAGGTAATCAGCCAATTTCTAGTTCTATAGCAATTTACAAGAGCATCTGCTGTTTCTGGATATAGATATTTTTAAAAGGGTAAATTTCCCTCGTCAAAAAAAAAACAAAAACAAACCAAACAAACCTGAAGTAGTCTTCTTTCAATGAGCAACAGATAATGATAAGGCTTGTAAAGGCTTTGTCCTGTCTTTACTCTCTTTACAGGCTTGTCAAGGCTACCTTCCCTGACTTGAGAATTCTTGCTGTGTCTGTGTCTCAGTTGGAATTTGAATAGCAATATCTTGACCAGTTTTCTGTCTGAAGTAGGGAAGAAAAGGTAAAAATGGAACCTATGTGTGGGAACTTCTTCAGTTTGATATCCCTGGAGGCTGGCTGAAACTGTTGCACGGTCCTGAATCCAGAAAGTACATAGGCTTCAGCTGAGCTTGAAGTGCCTGTAGAATTCCTTCTTTTGTCCAGCTTCCTAATCTCTGAAGGTTAAACACAGCCATACTTGGACAAAAACAGTGAAAGTTTCTTTACACTGCTAGTACGGTGCCTGTGGATCAAGCAATCTGTTCCTATTACCATTAATCCCTGGATTTTCGGTTGCAATTTTAATTAAGAGAGTGGCCATTCAGTTTTTGATCTGTTCATCTAAGGACCTGAAGGTTTTTGTCCCCATCTAATTCAAAAGCAGGTCTGTCACTGAGTTCAGTGGTTACAGAATTGTGCCTGTTACTTCTCTCTTCTCCCCCACACCCCCCCTTTTCCCCCAAGGTTTTCTTTAAAGGGTAAACCCCCCAGGAGACACAGGTCCACCAGAACCAAATAGAATCAAATAATTTCCCAGGCTCATTTTCAGAAGTAGCTTTTCCCCCCCTTTCCTATTTCCTACCACAATCTTGCCTTTTCTTTAATAATCTGGAGCTGCAGCTGCATAGTGGAATAGAATTCAGAGGTTAAAAAAAAAATAAAAAAGAAAAAAAAAGAGAAAAGAGTAGAAGTGTATGTTTGGGTCTTAATATACATATTGAATTATATTTAATTGTGCCTTATCAATAGGCTGCTGAACTTAGGTGTTTGCTGCTGCCATTGGTCATGATGCTCTGTAGCAGGCAGAGGCAGCAACTGCTGCTGATGGAAAAGAAAAGGTAGTGCGGGAGGAGGGGAGAAGAAGATGGGAGGCGAGGGGATTGGCTGCTCTTAATGTCATTCACAGCTGCGGCCCCGGCTCTTCCGCCGCTCCAGCTCTGGCTCTCCCTTGAACAGCTCCTGGAGAGAACAAGGCGTGCGGAGCTCGGATCACCAGCATCATGCTCCTCGGGCTTGGATCGTAGATCCCCCTCTCTGAACCCCGAAACAACTCCATCGTCTTTCAGCGTCCCAAGCAGACCCAGCGAGAAAACAAGCACGTGAGAGAGAGAGGAAAGAAAGAGGAGGAAGACAAAAATCTGCATCCAAGGGGACTAAAGCAAAGAAAAAGAGTGCTTTGCTTGCACAGCTGCGAAGTGGGAATTTAAAGAGCTGCAGAGAGAGAAATTCCAGCTCATCAGCACATACACACTGCAGAATTACAGATCCAGGTAGAAATGACATCAACAGGGAAAGAAGGCAGCGGAGCTCAACATGCACAATATGTTGGACCCTATCGTTTGGAGAAAACCCTAGGAAAAGGACAGACAGGTTGGTTCTTTTGCAGCAGCACCGGTGCCAGAGGGAAAGCCGCTGAGGTGTTGGGGATGGGGTGTTCGGGGGTTCAGCTTTTCCCATTTGCTGTTTCAGTGAAGATCATGTTCATAGGGGATTTTGGCCTTTATTTATTTTTAGTTTTCGTTTTAATTCCTTCTCTTCTTCCTTTTTTCCCTTTTATTCTTTTTTCTTGGAAAAAAAAGAAAATAAAAAGAAAAAAAAGCCCAGGATGCTTTATGTTCATTACTCCTGCTAATGGGTGTTGTTCTGATGACAGCCAGAGTGCATGCAGAGGAAAAAAATAGATGATCTGCTGGTAGTGAATTTTCACATCCGTTTCTTCACTGCCCTACTTAGGAGCATTTTTCTTTTTAATCAAATTATATTGAAATTAAAGGTTCACAGCCTGTAGTACCGAGGAGGTGGTGGTGGTGGTAGTGGGGGAGTCACCAGCAGTATTTCATGACATCATGATTGAAAAGGGTGTAGTCCTTAAGGTGCAGTTGGGGGGGGTTGGTGGAAATATGTACAGTATGTCTCTGGCACTGCCTGCTGTGGGTATTCAGCAAATATGGATGGATGGGCTGGTGGTTTTTGTGGGTAGGGTCTGAAATAAAAGAAAAATAGAGGATCGGTGGCAGAATTCATTCTGGTTGTGCTGTGTTTTTGTAGGAGGGGTTGGGAGGGGGGGGAAGGGAGGTTATTTAATTATTTTTCTTAAGGCTTGTTTATGAAACTTGCCCCCAGCAGATTTTCCTGAATGGAACAATGGTAAGAAATATTAAAAAGAGGAAAGCGAGTGGAGGGAATTAGCAGAGAGCAGGTGCTTCTGCCCTACATGACATAATTAGATCCCCTAAATGCGTTCAAGATCTGGACTTACTGTTGCTTGCTTGGATAGCATATTCACTTCAAGGGCAGGGGAGTATTAATTGGAAGAAAAAAACCCTTAAAAAGAAGCCCAAACGTCTTCCTTCTTAAAATATTTTATTTTTAGTAACAGGTGCAATAAGCAATGGCATCTGGCAAATTCATTGCGTTGGGATCCCCCCAAAAGTGGATTGAGACTTGAGGTTATAATTTAGGGAAGGGGTAAGATCAGCCATAGGGGGGCTTCTTTGGGCATGTGGGTGTTAAGTGTTGTTCATTATGGTGGGACAATAAAACATGATGCATTGTGGTGTATTTTTTTTTTATAACCCAGCCGAGCTTTGCCCATCTGTTGTCTAAAGGATTTAATAGGCGTTTCCATCCCCAGCTGCTGCCTCTGCTCTGCCTGCTTCCTCACTGCCCTGCGTGGCAGCAGCTCTGCAGTCCGCAATTTTCTTAGGGACACAGTCAAAATCCAGATCTTTCTCTGTAAGAAGCAATGCTCTTCTGAGATGATTGATTATAACCTCCCCCCCATCCTTCCCCTCCTCTTCACAACCCCATAGCAACCGTTCAGAGACATGGATGAAGATGACATTGTCTTCTAGTGGAAGTGACTTTTATTTTTATTTTTTTAAATAAATCTCTTCAGTATATCAGCTGCTATAGGTAGTTCTCTGTCACTGTTTTGGTTACCACCTTTATCCTTTGCATAGCTCAGTGGATCTTCTCCAGCTGTGTTCTTATACTAAAATCTGTTGTGATGATGGTGATGAAAATATCCTACAAGAAAAATTATGGTATAATGTTAATAAAACTGTCCTATTTCTGCTGATAATCCTTTCCTGAATACTCCAGGTGATCAAAGAGCCAGCTGTAGATGACAAATGACAAACTGTCTTCATCACCATTTCCTTTTCTCTCTCTCTCTCTCTCTCTCTCACCTTCTCAGTACCCCTCCCTCGCCTTTAAATGCAATTGTGCCTGAGATTCCTGAAAATACAGCTGCATTAACCTTTTGCTCCATGTTCTTATAGCCTGACGTTGTGGTCCTAAAGGGTTATCTGCAGCTTTGGTTATGTTTTTTTCCTCTCTGCTAATCTTCCTATCTTCCTCCTAAGTGATTAGAGACGTGGGGGTGGAGAGAGAAGAACAGGATGTATTTAGAGGCTTGCTGCTGTTGGCCTCTGCAGTTATTCAACCAGCTGGACAAGGGTGAAAGTTTCCTTTTGCAGTTTTACCGTATAACTGATCTTTATAGATAAGTCTCTGCTGTTTGCACACATGAATGCACATGAAATGCACAATACATGGTGTCATAGAAGCTGGAGGTGGGGGAAGGAGGAAGAGAGATCTTGAAAGTAGCTGATGTCAGTCTGTGTCTCTCTTTTTATACCCGCCCTTGATTAGTGGAATAATGCACTGAGGTGAAATCTAACTCAGTATTAAACATACATGGCTAAATATGGAAAGATGCCTTCTGGTCTTCTCGCATTTTCTGTGCTGATCACATTTGGGAGCATGCAGAATGGTATAACCAGTATGTGGCATGTAGCTCGTCCTCATCCTGCTTGTTTTGGTGGTAAGCAGGCAACCTGCAGCATTTTAGGGAGAGGACAAGCAGTGCAGTAAGGGGGCCTGATTCACCATAGTATATTGGGTATCTTGGCATTTGGGTTGCAGTGGCTTACAGATGAAGGAAGATTGTAATAATTCATTTAGAGATTGACTTTGAAGCTTGGAAGATTAGGAGGTAATGTTTTGGAAATTTTTTTTCCAAGAGGATGAGGAAGAGTCAGAGGAAAAATCTGGCAAAATGAAGTGATGAATAGAAAGAAGTGTAAGTTTTGTTGCAAAGTCCTGTCCACTTTGCAGTGGTCTTCATATACATCACTTTTATTTGGAATAAAAAAATTTTGACTCCATAAATTTATTTTAGATAGGCAAGTCAAACTTTGCTCCCAGATACATGGGTGTTATACATATGTATTAATCACTCTTACCTGCCTTTACTGACATCAGAAGAAGGAGTTTTGGGAAGGAGTGAGGGTTCATTCATAGTTCAGAGCAGACTTAGAGAGGGTGCCATGCAGGGAGAACTTAATGGTAGGTAAAACTCTCTTTGGTTTTCTCTCTGTGAAGTGGGTGCTGATTGCCACCTTAAAAGCTGCCAAGAAGTGTTTGCCAGCAGCCAGCAACCTACTGGTCCCTGCAGAGAGGTCCGGTTGTGGTATCTGGGACATTAACGGGACCTGGTGACATCTGGCTGTGGGTGGGCAAAACTGAGAGGGAAAAGCCTTCTGTTCAGATTGGTGGGTAACCACTGAAAGTGGTGATTGATCAGATATGCAAAACTGGTCCTGAGCAGCCTTCTGGGCTGGTGCGTCACGCTTGCCGAGGGTGACCGATGCCACAAAGAGAGGATTAGGGCCTCTCAGGCAGAGAAGCTGGGAGGGGGCTACTCGGGGCAGTGCTGAAAAATGCTTGGGCTTAGGTCTTTGCTGCTAGTGGGAATGATGGAGGGACAAAAATGATTTTTAATGATGCAATTTGACACATCATTTGAGTACCGTGGCAAGACGGTTTGCTTTTGTGATAGGTTGAATTTAGAGCACCTCTATTTGACGTCATCTGCTGGAATAGCTTATGGAATCTCCATGTAAATGGTCTTGCAAGAATACGAGAGGCATCAGAATCTTGATTGTTGTACTAAAAAAATTATTTTACAGAACTGCCAGAGTAAAAACATCCCTGCTGTGTATATATATATGGATGTGTAGGGAAAGGTTGGTTTATCTCAGTTCCATTGGTGCGTTCTTTTACAGTTAATTATAGGAGGTTTTCATTGTAATTAACAGTAGTGAGCAAAGGATGTGTGTCCTGTTACAGTAACACACATGGAAACAGTGTGCCTTGAGAAGCCTCAGTCACACCGGATCATGAACCAGTGTTATAGCTTTAGGTACAGGTTTTCTTCATTTGCCACTAATTTTACATGAAACCAGTTTCCTGTGTATTCCTTGGTCTATTTTTTTTAAAATTCCACAGTTATCTCTGTTCTTGTATTTCTTTTGGCCTCATTAACACCTGTTTCACCTTTGAAACTCTTAACAGTAATTCAAACTGACTGTAGTGAATATTTATTAATGAGTGCACAGATGAGGAACTGAAGTATTTCTTGTGAAGGTCTTTAGCATTTGGAGGGTTTTTTAGTATTTTCATTTGACAGTCACTGTATAGGCTTCAGCATCATTGCTTGCTGTAGAACCAATTCAATGCCTAGTGGAAATTTCTAAAATGCTGATTTGTCTACAAGCCATAAGGCATTGGTTCTAAGTGGGAGTTACTCTATCCGCATTGAGGTAAACTTCATGGGAAGTTTAATGCTGCTTACTCATTTTGTTATGTTCCTTTTATTCTGTTTTAAGCCTGGTACAAAGAGTCGTGCTTGAAACTCGCAGTACTTTGACCTTCACAAAAAGTGTAGGGGTTCCCTTTTCTGCCTTGAATCCCATATACAGCTATTTATTATTTTACAGCTATTTTGGTGTATAACATGTTCATTATATATGAGCCATGGGCGAGGTGTTCAGCAGTGTGCTCTTGGGTTATGTAAGAACAGAAATAATTAAATTTGGGTCTTAGAGAATTTAATAGCCTTTTATTCAGTGAGAGCTTAAACAGGTCATTTCTTTACAGCCTTGCACATCTGTTTTCATGACACTGGCAGAAACTGAAATTTGTTAATTTTTTTTATTTGTCTGTCAAATTTGGGTGAAAACTTCAGCTCTATTCAAGAAATGTTGGGTAGTCTCAGAAGCCTGGTTTTCTTAGGTAAGTAGGCTAAACAAAGTATGTCCTCTTCATTCATACTGCTATAATTTTTTTTCTAACACAGCATATTGGATTTAGAGATGATCTAAGGAGTACAGCTTTCTTCCATTTAGCTGTCTAGATGAATATATCATTGCAAGAGGTGTAAATCATTGCAGTTTTCCTTTTTAAACACACAAGCAAACAGCACACAAGCAAACAACATGCCAGTATATATCCTAATAATATTTTCATACATATACTTTGCTTTCCTTATGAAACTTTCTTTCAAAGCAGTATGAACTCGTACT